ATAAGGACAGGAGCAGCGGTGGGAAAGGAGAGACGAGAGGCCACAAGGGACACTTTTGCTTACAGAGTGTGTGTAATCCTTGTAGGATTTGTCATTGTCTCAAGTGACACAAGGCAGGGCAGAGCCTGAGAGGGAAGGATAAGGCCCTATGGGCCATAAGGGCTATTGTAGGAGAGTTAAGGGCCTTTTTGCACCCCTAGACCCCAGGGGCACCCTTCCTGCTCAGTGATGGTGGCCACTCCAAACCCCACCCAAAGAAAGACCTCAGGGAGTCATCAGTGATCACGGTCACTTTAGCCACTCTCGGTGGCTAATGTCCACAGTCAGGGCCCGCCCACAGGTACCAAGTGAGTATGCGGGAACTGAGGCTGGGAAGAATGTTCTAGAGAGATGAAGGTCAGCTAAATGCCCACTAAGAAAGCATCTTCCTGGAGAAATGAGCCCGGTTTTATACTTTCTGAGTAGGAGAGACCTGTGTTGGCAGATCCACCACTAAAAGGGTAAAGGGACTGGTACGAAGGTGTTAAAAAGTCTCTGTTTAGAGAAATGGTTTTTCTGTAACTTATAGAAATCATACATCTTAAAACTATAGGAGAAAAGAAACCATCCTCGAAATGCAAAGGGAATCCATGGTCTGGGAGAACATATTTGTCAATGATACATCTGATGAGGGGCAGACTTCCAAAATATACAAAGAACTCACACAAGTCTACAAGAGGAAGACAAACAATCCAATAAAAAAGTGGGCAAAGGACCTGAACAGACACTTCTCCAAAGAGGACATACAAATGGCTAAGAGACATATGAGAAAATGCTCAAGGTCACTAATCATCAGAGATGCAAATTAAAATCATAATGAGGTGTCACCTCACACCTGTCAGAATGGCTCCATCAACAAATCAAGAATGACACGTGCTGGCGAGGGTGTGGAGAAGGGGGAGCCCTGGTCACTGCTGGTGGGAATGCAGACAGGGGCAGCCACCATGGAAAACAGTGTGGAGGTCCCTCAAAAAGTGAGAAATGGAGCTGCCTCTTGACCCAGTGATCCCACTCCTAGGAATATATCCTAAGAATCCTGAAACACTAATCAGAAGGAATATATGCACCCCTATGTTCACAGCAGCACAGTTTACAATAGCTAAGATCTGGAAGCAGCCCAAGTGCCCATCAGTAGATGAGTGGATAAAAAGCTGTGGGACATTCACACCACGGAATACTACGCAGCTGTGAAGAAGGATCTCGTACCCGTCGGGACAGCATGGAGGGACCTGGAGAGTATTATGCTAAGTGAGATAAGCCAGGCAGAGAAAGACAAGTGCCACATGATCTCACGTGTATGTGGAATCTAAGGAACAAAGTAAATTGATCAACAAGATAGGACCACAGACATGGAAGCATGAAACAGGTGGACAGATCTCAGAGGGGAGGCTCGGGGGAAGGAGGGTGGGAAGAGATTGACCAAAAAACTTATAAGCATATATGCACAGCCCATGGATACAGACAACAGACGGGAAGAACTGGGAGAGGTGGGAGATGGGGGAGGGGGGTAAAAGGGAGAAAATGGGGGACATCTGCAATACTCTCAACAATAAAATAAGTTAAAAAAACAACTAAAGGACAGCTTGGGAGAGTAATGTACTTATAGTTTAGTTAATTAAATAACAAAAAAATTAATTACTGATGTTTCCTTCTATCCAAACACATGAGATTTGTTTGGGGGCAATAATGGATTCTTTATATTTAAAAAAAATAAGAACCCTTACACTATTGTCAGACTATTTTGTGCTTTAATTGGGTGCACATTACTGTTTTCTATTTTAGGTCTATGCTCACAGAATGCAAAATTCATGTGCTGTGCTCAGCATTGCTCATTCTGTGTGTATATGTGGACTTAGTCAATATGATTGGTGATGAGGACAGTCATAATTTGATATTCTGAACCTGATGATTTTCCTGAGATAGTTTTATACTAGACAGTGAATTGTTCTTGAACAGTAAGATTAACTCCTATCTAATTTAGGGTTCCAGTAATAATAAGATTCATTATGGAGACTGGTGCTGGTCTAGCAGTATGTGCTGATTTAAAGAGTTGCTCATTTTAAGGAAGATCAAAAGAACTTATATGAAGGGGGCATTTAAAGAAGGCTGGAAATTGGAGAAAATCCGGTTGTGTGTTCTGTAAAAGTGTAATTAAATAAAAAGGAAGTGTTAA